CACGTGCACTGAGCACCGGCCGCCAGCGGGAGCGGGTGCAGGGGCCGTGGAGTCAGGCAGACTCGCCGGCCTGCCTCACCGTCCTGGGCACAGGCGTCCCTAGGCACCTCCCAGGAGCTGCGCGCACGTGGCCATTCCTGTCCCACAGGTGGCGGGCTGAGGACGGGGCTTTCGGAGACCTGCCGGAGGTCCCGCGAAACCCGTGTGACCGAGATCGCACATGTGGGTGGTGGGCAGAGCGGGCACAGCAGGGCTCGGGGGGCAGCTGTTGCCCTGTCACGCGGCAGCTCAGGAGGCCATCGCAGATGTCATGGCCTCAAAGCGACCAGCCTCGCGTTTAGCTCCCTGACACTCTAACTGAGGAAGAGCTGGGCACCTCACTCTTGATGTGCTATTGGGCTCCACTGCGGGGGCAGCAGCAGGCGGCGCCAGGGCGTGGCCTCCGCTGTCACAGAAGCAGGGCACTCAGCCACCGCAGCCCGGAGTCCTCCCCAGGCCTGGATGTGCGCGCGCACCAGGGGGTCTCCGCGGACACCAATCAGACTTGAGGTCTGGGCCCCGGCCTCCAACCAGCGCCCAGTGGGCGGGGCCCAAGGTGCCGCATCTCTAACCAGCCCCCAGGTGGGCGGGGCCCGAGGTGCCGCATCTCTAACCAGCTCCCAGGTGGGCAGGGACGAGGTGCTGGGTGCTGGCTCCCCGCCACCCAGCAGCAGGTCTGAGAGCGATGCGGCCTCAGAAGACACACGGCTCGGTTACCCTCGCAGAACGGGGACTAGCGAACATGGAGTCATAAACACGGACGGAGCCTGTGGCCTCTGCACAGGATTAAAGGAGAACGTGGAAGCCCCCCTACAGCCCTAAAGGCCCCTCTCAATGATGCAATATGGCCAACGAATGTCCTTTTCACACTCACGCCGCCTGCATTTCGCAGCCGGAACAGAGGCTGAGAGTCCCCTACAAGCCTGCACGGCGGCTGGGAGCTGAGCACTCCCCCGGCCCATGAGCGGCGTGAGCCCAGAGAACACACTGGAGTGGACGCCGCTCGGGACACGTACTCTCTCTCCTGCAGCTGGGCCCGCAGGGCCTTCCGCTCGCCCTTCAGGCTCCGCAGGGCGCCCCGGAGTCGCTCGCTATCCTCCTGGCGCTCGCCATCCTCCTGGGGCTCGGGGCGCGGCTGCCGGTGCCCCCACGTGCTGGACACGCAGAGCGCCAGGGCGTCGGACCGGCCTCCGTCTGGGGCCTGCGGCGGGGGGCTCTCCAGTGACCTGATCTTCTGGGGGCAGCACAGGCACGGGTTAGCGTCACTCCGAGCGACCTCCCCACCCTGGCGCCAGCGCCTTCAGCCCAGAAAAGCTCGGCCACTGGCCCCGGGGCCGCCTCTGGGCCTGTCCTTCCCAACACGCTTGGTTTTAAAACGCCCCACATCATAAAGTTCTACGTTTCAGCTTCTAGACGTGAAGTTAAAGGATTACTTGCTCAGCCAGCAGTGCGGCGGCCCCGATTTGCTCTCCGATGCCTGGGCGCCCGCCATGGGCCCTCAGTC